ACAAGTGACAAGGATGTCTCATTATCTGTGCACAAAGGTTTTGGAGAGAGCTCGACCTTATCAAATGAGTGCATGGCTCCTGCTGCAAGATCAGTCAATCTGCTGACTGAACTATGGACTATGAACTAGGTCACTTCAGTGTCCTCACTGCAAGGGTGAATAGACTGAGCATGTTCTAGCAAACCCTCAAAGTTTTGGATCTTGCTCTCAGTTTATGAGACCTCTAGACAGAAGGGCTTCACTTTAGTGCATCAAGAGCTGCCAATAGGGTCTCCAAAGCTGTAGATAAGTTTGCAGAATCATCAGCAAAGTCATTGTGAACTTGATATTGGCTAGTGTTACTCTGCAATGACTTTGGATGATAGCACTGTGTATTTATCCAGTCTATGCAAGTGTTGAAAAGGGTTGGTACAAGAATACAACCCAACTTCACTCCTGAATTCACAGGAATTCCACCATACATTACAGCATTTTGAGTACAAGTATATAGGTTTGCTATGAATCTAATAATCTTTGTCAGAGTTCCTCCAAGTCACAATTTCTCAAAGTGATTCACAATTCACTAAGTCAAATGCCTTCTTAAGATCAAGGTAGACTGCAAGCATCCCATGACCAGACTGGCAATTGCATTTTACAATACACAAGGACGTGGCCTATTATGGAGGTTGTTAGTTTCCTTGGTTGCATTACATACATTGCTGTGTCAGGTTGTGATGCAAGTACAATACTGATACCAGGGGCCAGAAATCCTCCGTCTCTGGGACCTTGCAAAGTCCGATAGAAGGATACTGCTTTTACAACAAATGTCAACTCCTGAGTTATTGAACTAACAAATGTCTTGTAGTCAGCTCAATCATAGTTGGATACCACACTGATGTCACCCAGTACAACATGAATATCTCACTGCAGATAGGTATCCGCCATGGAAATCAGTTTAGCAAAGATCATATTGTTCACAAGTGACAGTAGGAGCAGCAGAAAGAGACATTAAGTCAAATGAGTGCTTGAGCTAAGTACCATATACTCAGTGACTGAAGTTCCCTCTACAAGTGAAAACTGAAGTCAACTGGAGATGGCTATGGCTACCCTCAGGAGATGGTGACTATTGCTGCAGGCCAACCAGAAACACCTGAAACCATTCTCACTAATCATGCTGCTACCAAGTCTCACCTGTGAGATGGCAACTACCTCCACCTTCAGCTGTTTCAGTTTCCAAACAGTAGTGGCAGTTAATTATCCTGATATAAAAAGTGGATATTCCATGGATATTCCCTATGTGGATAGCCTGTCTGAGGTTATACCTTGAGCAGTCACTGAGGGTAAGTACCAAATCTGCCATTTGTCCCTGGCATTGGTCCAAATAAAGGTGAACAATTGGCTAAAGGACCTAGTATTTGCATGCAGGGTTCCTGAAGGATTGCTTCAGGCTGGGCTGGTGCACAACAGGTTACAAGAAGGACTGGTTTCCCCTGCTCCCTATCCAGTGCCTGATGGTCGCCTGACTTTCTAGGTATTTAGTTACTTACCATTTAGTCTCTCAGGGGAGCAGACAGGCAAGGACTGCCTCCCCAAATCCCAAAGCCACCTATTGTCTGTAAGGATATAAACAATGATACTCATTTCAACCGTAACCAAATTTTTTTTTGCTAGTCGTGGCATTGCTTTTGTAATTGTCTAGAATGCTTCAAAAGTTTAAAAGTAAATACTTTATGAAACATAAGCATTGTCATTCTTTCATGATTTAAGAAAGCTAATGAAAATATTCACTAATGCTTGTTAGAAATATTTGAATTACAAATCATGGCTATATTTTGAATCACACATTTCTCCTTTGTTTTCCAGTGTTGCCTTTTTCAAAGAGAAGGAAAATATGTGCCTGTATTCACTGCCTTTTCTCTACAAATGAGCTAATTTTCTAGTCAAAGGGATAGTACTTTAGGATTGAAGAGCATTCTTCTTTGTTATACATTTATATCATTGCATGTTGGTGTGTATGTGGAATCAAATTGTAAGAGAAAGATACTAAATAAATTAATAAACAAACATTGGTTACTTTTCTTACCTATGTAATTAATACTTCAATAAATTCTTAACTCTTCACACCAGGATACTGTCTTTGTCTCTAGTGCATTCAAGCCTGCTTACAGTTGTATACACTAAGCAGTTGTACATTAGTTTGGCCCTGGCTACATTCACTGAGAAATAGCCTTTAAATAGGCTTAAAGCCTCCTTTTACCCCCATTACCTTATTGTTTATGCTGCAGCCAAGAGCACAGAAAGCAGTATAATTTTATATTTCCCATGCATCTGATTTTTCCCTCCATCAGCTGAAATGTACTCTGACATGTTCCGTATGGCACTGGGGCTCCCATCATAAATGGGTTAAAATAGTCTGTTATGTATAATATCCTACTGAGTATCGCAGGTAACTGACAGATTTATTTGCCAAATATTCTCTGATCAGTTACAGATATAAGGTACACAACCAACTTTATTTGAAGAAATAAATATTAGAATATCAGTCAATCATAACAGAATTTTCCTTGACTATGAACAAATGTAGATTTTCAGGTAATAAATTACTGGAAATGTTTTAAGAATCTGCTCTACAAGAGCACATGACCTGGCAGTTAGTCATGAAATATTTTTCTCGTCTAACTTCAGACAATGTTCTTTCAACTCCAACATTTCCCAATTTACATCTTCATTTTGCAGCTACTTGTACACAATATATTTTCAGTATACTGAGTATGAAAAATGAATCAGGCTATGTGATTACTTTTACCTGAAGGCTGTGGGTAGAGACTGCAAGGTGAGGGTGTGCAGTGGATATGCCAACATTGCTAGATGACAAATGTTCAAGAAACACAGAAGTGAGTATAAGGTATACCTACAGCTCTGGCCTTCATTGCAAATCTTAACACACACTATCACCATCTGCATGCAGAACTTTATGCAAGATTACAAAGATAGATAACTTTGTGATGATAATTTCAAGGAACAAATTTAGTCACTATAGTAGGCTTGAGTACATGAGGTTGGTGTAAAGCATAGGCCTTAAAAATCCCTTTTTTGACCCACTTTACCACAGCAAATTACAATAACAATTATTCTTATTAAATATTCTTAAATTGTTATTTTCCCAGTAGAGCTTGCAAACTGCAGTTTTGAAGGAAGTAGTTTGCCATATTTTGTTTTCAGTGGTTTTAGGCATATAGTTTAAAAAATAATCATAAATGATGATAAATATTAAAATGACTGTCACAATATGTTGCAAGATCAGTCTTTTTCTAAAATGTAAAAATGAAAACTTTATCACGAAAAATATCATTATTCATACATAAGTTGTAAGGTATATTTGTGGAAAGGAGTTTCAGCATCCTCTCTGGTAAACTAAATGACTTGGTGGCAACACATTAGTAATAGTAGTAGTCATAGTAAACAAACTAACCATCAGATTGAATGATGTCTGGCATAGATGATTGGTGAAGTTTAAAATTATGTCTATATTATCAGCAGCACTTGGCCAGCTCAAAAATACTGACTTCAGGTCTAAAAGTAAACAAAAAAAGAGCATAGTGTATATAATCCTCACTGGTTATACCTAACTTTAAAAAATCATAATAATGGATAATCAAATCTGCATGAATATTTGTGTTTTTTTCTGCAAGTTAGACCTGGTATATATATACATGCCATGCCTATTGCGAGTTTATTCTTTTAATTGTCTAACACATAGTGGCTCCAAAGTCCTTGGTCACCTAGGAATTAATTATTAGTACTATGTACCACACCTGTTTACCTTATATCTTGATTTTCTAAAATAGTTTCTTTTATCTTGTATTACTATTAGTAATGTTAATAACATCATAATTATTTTAATATCTATAGTTAACAGCATTGCTATTGATAGCATTAAAAAAGGGTCAAATTGTAACTTCAAATAAGTATAACCTGCTCACTGCTAGAGGTTCTATATTTAATTTCATTTAGCATTCACTTGATTAATATATCAATTGTATACAATTACCTACACTATTGGCCAATATCTACCCATCCATATATAATATCCATGGATCTCACTCCTTACTTTCACTAGAAAAGATATATATATATATATATATATATATATATATATATATATAGAGAGAGAGAGAGAGAGAGAGAGAGAGAGAGAGAGAGAGAGAGAGAGAGAGAGAGAGAGAGAGAGAGAGAGAGAGAGAGAGAGAGAGAGAGAGAGAGAGAGAGAGAGAGAGAGAGAGAGAGAGAGAGAGAGAGAGAGAGAGAGAGAGAGAGAGAGAGAGAGAGAGAGAGAGAGAGAGAGAGAGAGAGAGAGAGAGAGAGAGAGAGAGAGAGAGAGAGAGAGAGAGAGAGAGAGAGAGAGAGAGAGAGAGAGAGAGAGAGAGAGAGAGAGAGAGAGAGAGAGAGAGAGAGAGAGAGAGAGAGAGAGAGAGAGAGAGAGAGAGAGAGAGAGAGAGAGAGAGAGAGAGAGAGAGAGAGAGAGAGAGAGAGAGAGAGAGAGAGAGAGAGAGAGAGAGAGAGAGAGAGAGAGAGAGAGAGAGAGAGAGAGAGAGAGAGAGAGAGAGAGAGAGAGAGAGAGAGAGAGAGAGAGAGAGAGATGAGAGAGAGAGAGAGAGAGAGGAGATGAGGAGAGAGAGAGAGAGAGAGAGAGAGAGAGAGAGGAGAGAGAGAGAGAGAGAGAGAGAGAGAGAGAGAGAGAGAGAGAGAGAGAGAGAGAGAGAGAGAGAGAGAGAGATACCAATTAGGTATGTCCGTGCAACTTTCCACCAATTGTACATTTTGACAACCATTCATTCATAAATATTCTGTTTACTATGAGGTAAGTGTTGCTATTAGGTGTGTTACTCTACCAGAGAGGGTACAGAAATTCCTTTCCACAACTGTAACGAACAGGAGCATTTTAATGAGAAAATGTACCATCATTGCTATTTTCTCAGGCAGCTCCTCTTTGCACTATGGTTAAAGAATAAAACTAAAAGTTCTGAACTATTTTATCTTTATTGAAAGTTCTCTGAATAATTTCAAGTGTATCTAATATCACATTTCCATACAAACTAAATATTAACACAAAAAAGCTAATTTTTCTCTCTCTCATTATCACTGACTTTAAAGATCTTTCTTTCATATATTTCACACATATATATACTTACTTATATCTTATATCTTATTCAAATACCTATCAACATAACATTTTGACTATTTCTTCTTCTTTGGTAACTTCATAAGAGGTCTATCAATCTGGAAGATAACATTACAAGTAGAACAGAGTGGAACAGCCTTACAATACACAGAGAGGCAATTTGAGCACACATTGCCCATATCTACAAGCGTTCTGTGACAAAAGCATGCTGCACGGTAATCAACAGTATCAGGTGGGGGAGCATTCAATCTCTTTCTTACTGAGATGTCGGGTTGATACATCAGTATCAGTGACTGTAAGAGCTGTGACACCTGAAATGGTAGAGTACATGAGGTAATTATATACAAAATCAAAATACAAATTTGTGGGCTCAGATATATTTTGATATTCCTAAAAGGAAGTTTAGAAAAAATGGCATATCTTACATCTTGGATTGAACGGTAGTAACCTCCACTAATATCTGCTCCTTGCTGTAACAGCCCACAATCTCCACCAATGACACAAACATCTATTGCAGTGTTTATCTTCTGAGCTGTCAAATATGTGTTAATATAATTCAGGTACTGGCTCCCTGTGTCAGCTGTTGGAAATACAAGAAAGAGGGAAAATCTATATTAAATATAACTCTAATAAGTTAATATATTCAGTTTTCATCTTTTTCATCATATTTATCACGTAAGTACATTAAAAAGAGATGACTTAATTTCATGATACAGATAAGGATGTTACACATCTTCAGAAGAATGATGGAGTTAGGTGGCTAAGAAATGCACAATTAAATTTACACAAATATATAATTCTATATATTTATCTATATCATTATATCTAGATACATCTATCTACACACACACACACACACACACACACACACACACACACACACACACAACACACACACACACACACAAATAACAAACAAACACACAAATAACAAACAAACACACAAATAAACAAACAAAACACAATAAACAAACAAACACAAAACAAACAAACACAAATAACAAACACAAATAAACTAACAAACACAACAAACCAAATAAACAAACACAATAAACAAACACACAAATATATATATATATATATATATATATATATATATATATATATATATATATATATATATATATATATATATATATATATATATATATATATATATATATATATACATAATATAAAACCAACCAATCATCAGACTTACATGAAATCTTTATAACTAAGATTCTTGCATGGATTTTGTTGACTATTTGGTCCTCTCTCTCATGACGTTTTATGTACAGTAATCCTCGGCCAATGGCCCCAGAGATAAGAGATTCTGTCTGCTCCACTTTGGCATCATGATACATCATGATTCTCAGCTCTTCCATAATGCTTTCATCAACGTGACTAAGAAGTTCCAGCCGACCATCCTTCTGTCTGTCTGCCTATAATATATAGCTTTCAATATACTTTAAAAGAATTATAAATCTTTAATCTCTTCAAAATTATGAAAAAGTCAAAATACTAGGAAATTTAAGTTTAATCTTTACAGCAGAGAAGACAATGTTTCCCGGGATATGTTGTGGGGCAGAGCCCCCCATCAACCCTCCCTTCTGCCATTGACCAAAGGGCATGTCCAGTCAGAGCAACTTAGATTGTTGAATAAATTTTGTGACGTTGAGTATTATCTGTATTTATAAATGATTAACCAATTTAACTTAATATCTATGTAATCCAACTGTAACACTAACCTTCTCTCCATTTTTTTGTGGATACAGGAAACGTGTTTCAAGGTGATTTGCAGCAATGACGGCAAGTCTATTTTTTACACTAGTAGCCAAGTGGAAATTAGCAAAGGAAATACATGAGCTTAGGTAGCTCTGAACCATTCCCTCTTGGAGGGCCAACTGTGGATGCACATCTATAACCATTACCAACAAACACCCATCTGCCATGATGCCAAGCTGAAAGCAAAGGAGTGAAATTAGCAACAACAAAATCTATAAGACACACAAATTCTTTTGTGATGTTGGTTTTTAAATGTTAAACACAGCCAAATGAAGAGTGACAAACATGCCAAAACTTACTCTGAGTTATCAGCACTTTTCCATTCCTGTTTTTCTTTTAATGACATTTCATAAACAAAAAATATTAATTTATTTATTCACTTCAAGTACTGGTAACTTCAAGCAAGCTGACTAGTTTTTAACTCTGTCATCGCATGCATGGCCACTGTGAAGGACTGCACTTTCATCACTCTCACACTGAATGTTACCTTAATTTCAGAAAAAAAATCAAAAGAAAAGGGAATTTTCATATGAAGTTAACCCCTATGATCTGTGACGTGACCATCCCATCATAGAAAACTTTGGGTCAAGGTCCAGGTGATGTAAACAAGCTGTCATCAGACAAAATGGCTGCTAGCCGTTATGAGCTAGGGTCAGGGTGACAAAAAGACTCGCACAAAGTGCACAAACCTCTTGGAGTGTAGTTAAGTTAAGTTAAATGTAATTAAGACTCATTTGACGTCTAAAAGGAGGTTTTAGCATTATTCCCATTGATAAACGAGTGTGAAATGTAATGTGTGCAAGCCATGAGTGGAAGACTCCTGACCTCAGGGAGGACCCCATTTTCATGCTCAGCATTGTATTACTGGCTGCTTTGACCGGCAACACAGGTTAAACTACGGAAAAAAATAAAAAATAAAAAATAAAAAATAAAATAAATAAATAAGATACAAGAAATAAATAACCAAATGTTACATATTAAATTTTTCTAAGTGCTGACTGAGTTATTTACTACATAGAGAGATGATATGGAGTCTGTGCAAGGGGTATTTTCTATTACCATCTTGTTAAAACAAATTAAAAGACAAATATAGACATTGAAAAGGTGGGGGGGGGAAGGTTTATGCAAAATAACTTTACAAAGGGGAGATACAAACTCTTGTTGCTGCACACTATCCTAGCTTAGTGCGTCAATACCATAAAGATTAACCTTACAGTATTGTCTCAAGGTCCAAAAAAGTAACAGACAATTTATAATAATAGTCAAGTGTCAATAATTGTTATACATCATGGAGTAACTTTTTTTTTTTGACCATCTGTAATTTTCTAGAATGTCTGCATCTTAACCCCAAGCCGCTGGACATGGTATGTATATACATGCCATTGCCCATTGTAGGTATTGAATTTAGAAATTGTTTTTACATATACATGGCTCCACAAGTACTAAGTCACCAATGAGCCAAT